TGTGTGTGTGTGTGTGTGTGTGTGTGTGTGATGACACGATGAAATAACTTTGTCGGCAGGAAAAAAGGTCGACTCCCCGAGTACTGGTGTACATTCTACGCGGCTCAGGTGACGATGGCCCTACAGTATCTTCACAACTGCAGCTTGCTCTACAGGGACCTTAAACCGGAGAACATTTTGTTGGACCATCTTGGATACTTGAAGGTCAGAAAACGACTCTGGCCTTGCTTGCTCTGTCTGTACTCCTTCATAATGTCTTCTATAGTATTAGTATAAGACGACAGCCTATGACGAATGTACGAAAGCGACAGGCAAATTTCATTGGACACACAATGCGGAAAGAAGCATTGGAGAATATTGTAACAACGGGCAAGTTTGATGGAAAGAGGGGCAGAGGCAGACAGAGGGAAAAATACTGGACAAGTTGACAACATGGCTGGGAGAGGCAACAGACACCATTGCTGCAACGCAAGGGAGGTGGAGGTCCATGATCGCCCACATCAGTCGGCAAGGCACCGGATAATGATGCTTGTATTAGTATGCTCTATTTGCTTCCTGGGAAGATGAGTTTGTTTCAGAATGTAGAAGACCAGGTTTGCTGGGGTAATAATGTAGATTCTTAAGCCCACGGGGCGAGAATTTGAGGTTTACAAATGCTATTTGTTGTTGTTGATGGTGGTGGTTGTGTTAGTTGTTATCGTCTTCGTCATCGTCGCCGTTGTCGTCGTCGTCGTTGCTGTTGTTGTTGTTGTTGCTGTTGTTGTTGTGACTGCTGGGGCTGGATTTATGTGGAAGGTGCAGGCTTTAGCGGCAGCCTTAAGCCTTCGTCAGGACAAGTACAAATCTGAGACTGTATCCTAGGGTCACATAGTAGGCCTTCTTGTATCACAATTTGTGAGCAGGGCTTAGGATGTTTACTAATCTGGACGCACATGGACATAACGGGTTTACTTGCGTCAGACTGGGACATTTCAGTAACCCACTTTCGGCACTTTTTAAGGACCCCCGGGCAAGCGTTGAGTTCCTGCGTGTTGTCGGCATCGGTGACCGTTTATGAAGCCACAGCGCCAGAACAGAGAGAGAGAGAGAGAGAGAGAGA